TCATTCCTTTCTTATCGTGGCGCAGTTGAAGTTGTGCCTGCTCACTTTTGGAAACGGGCTGCAACTTCCAACGATGAGCCCGAACCTGGCGCTGTTGGCAGCCAGGTGCGGGCGCGCGCTGCCGCAGGGGAAAGAAAACCCTGTAGTTGCTCGTGGGAAAACCAGCAACTGATCCCTCAGCAACTGCTGAGGGAACCACCCCAGCCTTGTCTGAATCTGGCTGGGGTCGTAGGCTGTATGCAGGCACAGGCACGAAGGGGGGGATTGAAAAGCAAGAGGGGGTTGAAGGAGTTGAGTGGAGAGCGAGAGAAAGAGGGATGGGAGGATGGGAGAGAGGGGGACCTGCTCCTCCCGACCTGCCAGCTGTCTCCCCGTTGTCAGGGGGGGAAGAAGAAAAAGAAAAGAAGAAATAAAAGGAAAAGAAAAGAAAAGAAAAGAAAACGAAAAAACGGAATCTGAGTTTTTTTTGAAAAACTGTATTTTTCAGTTTGCGCCACTACTTTTTTGGTGGCGTAAAACATTTTTTTTGACCTTGCAATTTTTTCTATAGATAGTCAGGCACTTAGGCCATACGCATGAATTAAGGGAATATTTTTCTAAAAAGCTCAAAGTCGGGGTATGTTTTGCACCCTGCCCGGAGCATGTCGGGATTTGAACTCGTGCATTTCCACGAGTTCTTTCCCTACCTCTCCCAATCTGACAACTGCCATCCCTGTTTTCAAGGGAGGGTAGGGGAGAAAAGAGGAAAAGTAGAGAGGGGAGAGAAAGGAACAGTCACGGCCGCGAACGTGGTCGCGGCCGTGCACCAAGTTCAAGCAGTATTGGCCTGAATGCAGTCATTCAGGCCAGAGTTGTGAACTAGAGGGTCAGTGAGGGGAACTTGGCTGGAAACAACCATTTCCCCGCTGAACCTGCACTCAGTGTAGGGCTGAGTGCAGGGAAAAGGGAGAAAAAGAGGGGGGCAGTTGAGTACAACTGCCACCCTAAGTGTGTGGCTGAGGTGACACAGCCTCTCAGATCGACGGCCCCAGGCAAGTGACGAATTTTGCCTGGGGGCAGCTGAGGCTGCTGCTGCCCTCCTCAGCCACTACAAAAGAGGCAGTTGTCCCCCAACTGCCTCACACTTGCCTCCAGCTGCCAGTGTGTGACAACACACTTGCCTCATCGCTGGAGTGCTGGAGACGAGGCAGGAGTGCTGTCATCGAAGCTGGAGGACTGCGGAGGAGCGCGGCGAAGGAGGAGACAGCCATAGCCTTGGCTGGAGCATTCTGCTCCACCTTGGCAGGCTGGTCTCTAGGGGGACTCTGCGGCAGCGTGGTGAGGAGCGGCATCGGAGCATGATGAGGAGCGGCAGCGGAGCGTGGTGAGGAGTGGCAGTGGAGCATGATGAGGAGCGGCAGCGGAGCGTGGCAAGGAGCGACGGGGAGCACGACAAGTGGTGGGGTTATGCTACCGAAATACCGCGGCGTCGGCGCGACACCTTTATTTTGACGGGTGACGCTGCCGTTTTCACGGCACGTCGGCGACACTTTGTTTCGAAGAATGGCGCTGCCGTTGTCACGGCACGGTAATACATCGCGGCGAAGCGCTGCCAATTTTTTTTTACGGTGGTACGGCACTACGAAGCGCCGCCGTCTTTTTGCGGTGGTACGACGCGACAAAGCGCCGCCGTCTTTTTGCGGCGGTACGGCACGGCGAAGCGCTGCCGTTTTTTTATGATGGTACGGCACGGCGAAGCGCTGCCGTTTTTTTTATGGTGATACGGCACGGCGGAGCGCTGCCGTTTCTTTTTTTACGGGGCACGGCGCGACGACGTGCTGTCATTTTCCGACGAAAGTTCGGCACGGCAGTGGAACTGCGGCACGACGGTGGGACATGCGGCGAGGCAGTGGAGGTTTCTTTTACGGCGCTGAAAGGTTTTTTTGTTGCGGCGAGGGGTCTGCTTTTCTTGGTGAAGGTCTGCTACCATTGGTGTACGGCAGCAGCAGCGTGACATGGTGGCGGTGGACGGCATGCGACGGCAAGTGTTGGGACTACCCAACACTTGCGGCAGTGGGACTGGACTACTTGGGACTGCCTGGATTCAGTTGGGACTGCCGTGGGACGCGGGCTGTCATTTGCGGCGGTCCCGACGCAGACGTTTTTGGGATTCGGCACCGGTTTTATTTTTTAGAGAAGTGTGGCAGAAGCGGTTTTCGACTCAGTAGTCATTCGACGAAGTGTTTGACAGCGTGGGACCACCTAGAACCGCGTGGGACCATCTGGGACCGCTTAGGACCAGTTGGGACTGACGTAATACCAGATCGAGTGTTTTTTCTGGGACGCGTGCAGCTCTCCGTTTTCACGCTTGGGTTACCGCGGATGAGGCGTGCGAGTGAAAGGCGGTTTGATCAGGATTTTCCTTGAGACTACAGCTTTCGGCGGCACACACAGCTTGTTGGTCGGCTTTCTTGAGTGAGCCAGGATGCTTCTTCGACACCACTTCACTCAAGGTCAATGGACGATTCAGACTCCCTTCACACCTGTGTGCACCCACACATTGCTCGACCCTTTTGCTTCGAATGTTCAGGAAAAAAGGTTGGGTTGTGGGCGTCATGCATGAGTGAAAAGGTGGGCCTGACGTGAGTAGTGGGACTTTGCTTGTCTTCTTTTGATTGTGTTGTCTGCATGGTGTGCAGGTGAGTAAAAAGACTATGTATAAAAGTGGGACAAAATGCTATTTCATAAAATGACGGAAAATTTTTGCCTCCTTACCATTTTCCTTTCGTCAGTGAGTTGGGTGACCTTGCTTGCTATTTCTGAAGGATAATTGATGGGTGTCGTGAGAAAAGGAATTTTGAAAACAGAAAGAGAATCAAAGCATAATGAATTTAACTTTTCTCAAGGATTGACCGCCTCTATTCCGAATGACCTTATCTGCATATACCTGTCCAAATGATTCTCATTATTTATCCCTTTTGATTTCCCTTTGCTTAAGTTACCCTGAACTTAAAAAAAAAAATTGGAACAATTGAAAGTCACTTGTAGTGGACACATGTTCTCTCTCCAGGAAGCATTTGGGGTGGGGGTTCGTTGCTTTCGAAGCCGACCTTGTTATCGACCCGGAGTGGACCGTTCTACGGGGGGGTACTTTGCCGATTCCGTGGAAACGGCCCGACTTCTGAGATCCGAGTCTTGTGCTAGGGCGAGGAGGAGGAGTACCCCAAACCACTTCCTAGAGGGTGAGGCATGCAACACCTCAAGCAATGCGCCTGATAAAGAATCAACCGCAAAGCAACCTGTCATCCAAGAAGATGAAAATGGGTATGTGAGTCTAGTCTTAAGTCGGCGGTGGGTTAAAATAACTTTGGCAGCATGTCTCATCAAGTCAAAACTAAGGCTGTCGATTACCTTGTCAGCTGCATCAATGTTATTATCGGTAGCCAACTCCTTGYTGGCRGTTGCACGAGTGTTTTGTGRAGTTCGAYCCGGGGTGGTCGGGTTTKATTTTKATATTGTACTATTGGATGTATTGCGTGATGATTCAAACTATTTTGTTAGTTAGTTCAGATTGAACGTACTTTTCTATCGACTGCGGTCGATTCCTTATTATGTAAATATATGTGGGTGTTATAAATTTCTTTGGGTCTAGGATACTGTGGGTTTCTTGCTTGGTTGAGACCATCCTAGTCGACCGACGTACGCTTCGTTCTTAGGAGATCAGCGCCCTAATGGACGGACGACACCCGGGTCCACTAGGCGTTAACCAAACGTATCTATACTACAGCGAACGAGCAAACGCCCTCGACCGACCCACCTCTGCAACTGCATGTAAAAGCTTTCGCACGTGAGTCGGTAGCTCGGTAGGGATACACCCCTAAGGGTGGTGACAGCCCCTTAGGGAAGGCAAGCTTATGCCCCGCGGGAACCTATCCTGTCGTAGGGGACCGCGGTGTACAACTGGCGCACCCGGCTAGAGCGGCGAAGGGACGACACGACCGCGCACCCGTCTCAGCGGCTCGCGGGATTATTTTGCGTCGTTCCTAAGTTGTCTCCTTGTTTTCTTTTCCGTGTTTCTCCTGTGTGACGCGACCGGGAGGGCCCTCTCTGACGCGGGGGCCGATGTGCTCGACAACGCATATACGTGGAGGTAGCTACCTTGTGGTTGGGCATGCGTTTGCTGTAATATTCGAGCGCACGCAGACCATCGCCATCATCTTTTTCCGCACTGCACCAATCCCATACTTGCTCGCGTCCGTAGTGACTACGAACGTGAGGTTGGGATCCGCAATGCGAAGCACAAGATGACTTACCAAAGCCTCTTTCAAGGCTTGGAATGCAGTCTTGCATTTCTCACACCACCCATAAGCAACATTTTGTTGGTTAGTCACGAGAGTGGGTGAGCAATGACAGAAAATTTGGGCACAAACTTCCGATAATACGAAGCCAAACCAAGAAACGAACGCAGTTCGCGTACGTTTGCCGATTGAGGCCATTTTCGTATAACCTCAACCTTGGTTGCCTCCGGCTCAAGGCCGTTTGCAGACAACCGGTGACCAAGATAGACGACGTTGTCCCTTCCAAGCTCATATTTCTCTAAGTTCAGGTGCAGTTGAGCTTCCTTGAGGACCTGCAAAACCTCCTCAAGGTGTTTGACGTGCTCTTCCATGGACTTGCTGAAAATCAGGATGTCGTTAAGGTAAACAACAACAAACATGTTGAGCTGATGACGGAGTACCTTGTCCATGAGGCACTGAAATGTGGCTGGTGCATTCGTAAGACCGAAGGGCATAACGATGAATTCGTACAACCCATCGCATGTTCTGAATGCAGTTTTGTGCTGGTCGTTCGGATCAACTTCAATCTGGTGGTAGCCAGACTTGAGATCGATCTTGGAGAACACCTTCCACCCACCTGCCACATCTAGCCGATCATCTATGCGAGGCAAAGGATGAGCATTCTTTTTGGTGATCCTATTTAGGCCACGATGGTCGATACACATCCGGAATTTGCCTCCTTTCTTTGGCACAAACAGGACAGGTCCACCGAACTCAAACTCACTAGGCCTAATCCATCCACGATCGTCAATCATATCGTCAATTTGTCTCCTCAACTCTTCCAACTCACCTTGTCCCATACGGTAGACGCAACCATTTGGAGGAACACTCCCTTCTATTATCTCGATCTTGTGTTTGATCAGAGACGCTCGGCGACTCCACGAGGTTCAGCCAAAACTTCAGGAAATCGATCTAATAGACGGCGAATGTTTGTTGGGACTTCTGGTGGAGGATCATCCTCATCAGGAGAGAAAATCAAATTTAGAATTTACAGCAATTACAACTGAATTCGAAGTACTTGGATCAGAAGTAGACTGGTTCTTTACAATAGAAGTAGGGAACAAAAGTAGAGATAATAGAAGTAGAATTACTTTCCGAGGTAGAAAATGCAGCAGAAGTAGAATGCACATGGAGGGGCTTCACAAGGGTTACATGCACATGCTCAGCTTCCTTGTGCCTGCGCACCAATTTGCATAATTTGTTTGCACTCAAAGAAGTCCCTAAGACTCGCGCTTCTCGTCCAATAGAACAGTACGCTCGTTCCCCTTTGCATCATGCACCACGAACTGAGTATCCGCCCACGTGGTCCTTAAACAATGAGCCTCTTACCAGCCCAAGCCAATGACCGCGTCGAAAGGACACTTGTCCAAGATGTAGAAGTTCAACTCATGTGTGACAGTGCGATCCTTGTCAAAGGTGACACGCACACCTTTGACAGCATGCGTTGAGGTGACAACCTCTTGGTTGCCTACCTGGGTTTGACACGGGTTCTCCAATTCCACTTGCTTCATTCCTAGACCCGCCTTACGAATCCTGTTAGGAGAAAAGAATAAGTTAGTCGCTAAGCCATTATCAATCAGCACGCGCATGTATCGGTGGTCAATGAGCAACTTAAAGAAGATCAGTTCCACGCTCCCTTGAACACGGCGTTGCTGTTTGAGCTGCAGCCAATGTTCTAGGTGAGAGTGGAAGTTGACTTCCTTAGTCTCCTCCCAAGGCTCAATATAAAGTACTTGGGCTGCGGCAGCCTTGGATTCAGCATCAGTCCGAGCTTCAAGAGCACGTTGTTGATCAGATTCAGGCTCCTTGGAGGGGCCTGCAGCTGACTGTTCAGCTTCCCTTGTTGTAGAGAGTGCTGATAACTCTTCTACTCCCTTTGCCTGTTTCCCTACAAACGATAACATTCCTGCACAGCGTGCCCAGGCTTTTGACAATGCAAGCACACGGGCAGTTTGAATCTTCTTTCCCATTCCTTTTGACTAATGTGGAGGGCTTCCCAAGGCTTGGTGGAAGCATCCTCCAATTTCTCAGGCATCTTTACATTCTTGGGGAGGTGTGCTATAGTTCCCCTACCCGAACCACGGTTAGGCCCCTTGCTTGAAGCAGTCTTTTTGAAGGCATTACATTTTTCTTCTTCATTGATGTCAGACTCAAGGGTTGATGTAGAAAAGCCCATATCAGAGTCCGGGTCTAGATCGTCATCTAGAGACGGATCATCCGCGTAGGACTGATCCTCAGGCTCCCGATGTTCATGCAAGGAAAGCTGGTTGTTGCTTCCGTACCTATCGGCGCTGCCGCTTGAGGAGCTGGCACCTGTTCCTGCGCTCGTCACAGTTCCACTTGCGCTCTGCATGAGGACTGTGTTAGGGTAAGGAACAGGGACTGCAGCAGGACGAGGATTAGGAGGACGGGGTGCGGTCATTGGGACTGTTTGAGGCTGACTATCTCAGCCTGCAGCTCTCGGTTCCGCTGCTCTAGAACTATCACAGGGGATTCAAGATCTTCCAAGGTCCGCAGTCGAACCAAGGCTGCTACGGCAGCAGCTAGCTTCTCTTGAAACCGGCCATCACTAGATTCCAAGACCTCGAGGAGGGTCACTTGTGTAGCAATACTTGTGGCTTTGGCTGCTGCCTCTGCCTCCCTCTCTTTGTCTATCGCGTCCTCATAAAGTTTCTGAAAAAACGGTTTCTCGCTCTCGTTCGCTGCATCCAGCATGACCTGCCATTGGGCAGATGAAATGTCTGCCATGTTGGAGGATGGGGTGTCAGTAGATCTCTCAAGAGGGGTCCGCTCTTTGCTCACGTTTGGACGAACACTCCTCTTACCCCTCCTCACGCTCTCAAAAAGAATACCTTCTCTCTCCCTTCTCTCTCTTTCCGCTTTCTGTGCACGCGTCTCAATGCTGGACATAGGTAGTTCAGATAAAAGAAAAACAGATAAATCACAAAGAGCAGAAGGTAGAACTCCTAGCTGGAGCGACAATTCATTTGGACTTAGAGGATGACATTCACGCAGCAAAAGAAAAAAAAAAATAATAATAAATAAATAAATAAAAACAAAAGAGAGGACTGACTTAACAAACAGGCCCGATTAGATTAGCCGAAGATCCCCTCTTGTCTAACCAGACAAGGAACATGTACCACAATAAGTCAGCCAAAGAAAACTAACTGCAGCAATGGAGATTTCGAAGGGTGCAGACGGTCATCGAGCCAAACGCGGGGCAGTATGTGAGAACATGCAGTAAAACCACTCAAGGTCCCCTTGAAAGGAATGTCCTTACTAGCCGTGTGTCCCCAAGATTCAGCACGGCAAAGAGATGCGTTGACGGCAACACATTTGGGTCCTAAAGATCATGTCCCATTGGGCCTGGTCCCACTGCGTCTTGAAGGGTCCCAAGTAGGTCGTGGACCAGGACCAATGAGATAGGTGTACCACGTCAGCCTCAAACTGCCTCTATCGTACTGAAAAGGAAAAGACAACTTTCAGCAAAAACCTACCCCTACAGCCGTTCAGAAGTGAAAAGACAATGCACTGTAGAAAGATATGTTATTGAGAACAAGATACATCATCCATCCATCCATCAGGTGAGAAAGCAATCCACATGCTCACACACACAACCAAAACCACAGAGAAGAGGAAGAGAGCCCAGCACACCCCAACAAGCCATGAATCACCAAGCAACCTCCCACGAACATACCCAGGTCACACGGCACTTACCTGTGAGGCCCAGCCTCCAAAGATGGATACGACTCACCCCCCTCTCTCATAAGTCCTCCTGACCCCTAGCTACCACTACACGAAGTGTCCTAGCATGACTAAGAGGGCCTGCCTCCCTACACCCCTGTTACAACATCGGATCCTCCGTCGATGTTTGAAGACCAAAGAAGCAACTTGCAGCTCTTCGATGCAGATATGGCAGCCTCTGATCAAGTCTCCCTCTTGAGGGAGAAGCCCAAAAGTCACTATCTTCTTGAAGTGCAGATTCCAGGTGCAAGTACCTCTCACTCTCCACTCCCTCTCGCTTACTCCAATCAGCCTCCTTTGTGTCTCGTCACCCCATTCCATCACACAAGCAACCTGGTCAGGTCTGATATCGCCCCTACATGACCTAACCAGGTGGGGGCAGCATCCACATACCTCACTGCTTCTCTTAACCCAACTTCCAACCATGATCCGAGATTAGGTTAGCCCTAACCAAATTCAGAATTAGGTTTAGGGTGACTAACACCTCTCGCCAGCAAGAAAGGTCGCTCCGATACCAATTGTTATGATCCTAATCATTCCCAAAATGCAAATTCACAATGAAAGACAATGCCACAAGTGCGAAAGAAATGAAAGCACTTGCAAAGAGATAAAGACCAAAGAAGGAGAGAAAAAGAAGAAGAAGAAGAAGATGTACACCATCAAGACCAATGACAAATCCCCCTTCTCACTCCACCCTCCTCCTCCTCCTTCAGTTCGCCAATCTTATTCTTCTTCCAATAATAATAATAACAACGAGTGGATGAACCAGAATCAATATCCGAAGTTCCCTCTTACTGCTGACACAACAACAGGTCCACCATAACTATGGTTTCCCCCCTTCTTCCGCGTCTCACATGCCTAGGCTATAGCGGACTACTCAGGGCTCTGCCCTCCTGTGCACAGGACAACGCAAAGCAGCTATGTCGCTGCACTCCTGTCCAAAGGACAACCCAAAGCAGCTTTGCAACTGCTGACTAAGCCGCCATGCCTGACTCTGCCTCAAGCTTCCTTCGTGCGGCACTACCCCAACTGGGGCCTTCCAGATGCAGCGCCCAACAAGATGATGAAGGTGGCGTCCACCATAGCCAGGTAGGTACCTCGCCACTCTCCTCCTCCGCCCCCTTCTTCCTCCTCCTCAAGCTGGGCTGCTCACCATAGCCTGGCTGAGCGCCAGCTGCTCGTCACCTCTAGGCAGCGCTGCACAAGTGCAGCGCTTAGCTCCAGCAGCATGTCGCCAATCCTTGCGTGCCGCAAATGATAAGGAGCTGCTTGCTCCTCCAAAAGATATAGTGGCCTACTAGCCTCTTGGGCGGTGACTTCCTAGGTCGAGCGGCCTCCTAGCAACCGGTACCTCCTCCCTTTCCGAGGGAAACATCATTGCAGGCTCTGCTATCGTCCGGACAGGCCCTAGACTCAAGCCACTTGGACTGGTGCCAGCCTACCTCTAACCTACCGCTACTGGGCCTCTAAAAATGGCAACTTTTTGTCTTCTGCTCGGCCTCCAGTACCTGACACTTCTACCACTACTTCAGTGGTACCGGCCAACCTGCTACTTGAGTGTTTTTCCCCTCCAACCTGCTACTTGAGTGTTTTTCCCCTCTGCTCTAAGTGTCGCGGGCCTACTCCCGCTACTTGAGTGTTTTCCCCGCTGCAACCCTCAAAGTCATGGCCACAGGTAAGTAACGGCCTTGCGGGGCCTTTCAACCAACAAGTACCCTAGCGGGTCACACACACACTCAGCCGACAAGCACTTAGACAGGCACGCAAACCAGCAAGCACACACACACACACATACTTGTAAACCACAGCAGAATGCGGGAATCTCAGCAAGGCATTCATTCCAGAAGCAAATCCCAAAAATCAGTAGTGTTCTCAGTCTGTGTTTTGGCGGGTCATTACAACTTGGATTTTGGCTTGTCAAGCGGGACTGCTGAAGCAGTTACACTCATACATTCAACCCTGTGGCCAGCGTGAGCGTGGGACAAACATTAGTGCATGGGGTGTGAGGGGTGGGGACCTGGTGGAAGGTTCCTGTCCGCAGGGTGGCAACGCAGATGGGTGTCGTTCGACGCCTTCCTTTCCTCGAGGTGCGGGATCATCTGGCGACAAGGCGAGAACAATGTTGCCCCCTCCTTTGGCAATGCCTTCGCCTGCACCACGACAGAGGGTGGCCGCACCGGCGGCAAACACAAGCAGCACAAGAGTGGAAGAAAGTGGTAGGCAGGTATGGGAGTCCTATCGGCAACAGATGCACCGACTGAGCACAGAGAACAAAACGAACGAGGTGCCGAGGATGCGTGTGGGAAGTGACGGTGATGCGAGCGACTCCCAGAGGGCGAGTGGTGATGAATCTCCAGATGTTCTTTGGGAAGACGAAGCAGAAGATGCCGATGAGTTGGAGATTCGACCCATGGCTGTGCGTGGTAGAGGAAGGGGCGGAGGCAGGCATCAACATAAGGTTGTTTCCCATGCTGGTCATGAATCGAAGGGTTTTGTAGGCGAGAAGGGTGACAAACATCCGACATGGAGTGTTGAGAAGATGCTCAAACTCACCCGGGCAATGCGGGATCAACAAGCTCATTTTGCTGGAATGCCGCACAACTACGGGCGGATGCGGAATAAGGAATCAAAGCAGCAGGACCTGCACAAGCGTTTGGTGGAGGTGGGCGTGAATAAGACGACTGACAACATCGATAAGAAGTGGGATAACCTCTTCCAGCAATACAAGAAGGTGCAACGATACCAGAACACCTCCGGGGCGAAGAACTTCTTCAACTTATGCGCGTTGAGAACTGAAGAGGGCTTCGACTTCCGAATGAACGAGCGGGTGTACCTTGAGATCGACAACATGTCCAAGGCCAATAAGACCATCTACCCGGACAACCTCGCCAACACGAGCAGCTGCTGCGGAGTGTAGATTTCACGTGCGCCATCCGTTGCTGGAGAATCCGCCGCCAGAGGAGATGCAGGTGATGGCAATGACGACGATGGAGGCTAGGCGCGGGAGTCCGACTTCAGTGCAGGCAAGCACGGGAGGGAACGACAAGAGAAAAAACATGTGGCAGCAAACGCTCAACGCCATCGCCGAAGTCATGGAGAAGCCAACGTATTGAAGGCTAACACCGTGGAGGGGGCAAGCAAGCAGCAACGTTCCATTCTTGAGCAGCACTGCGACATATACTCGAGCGCGAGGTTAATGCCCAGCAGCGGCACTATGTGGCGTCCGACGAGGCGAACAGGATGGTATGCAATGCATTGTTGGAGATCGCCACTTGTCCGTGCTTATTTTGCAAGCAATTGCAAGGGTCGTTTTCGTGAATGCTTTGCGCAACTGTGTGTGTGTGTGTGTGTGTGTGTGTGTGTGTGTGTGTGTGTGTGTGTGTTTGGAATGATGTTTCAAAACAATGAATATGTGCATTTATTGGAACGAGGTACAAAAAACAAACGTTAAAAGACCCATCTTTGAACCCAAATTTGGCGGGTATTTGTGTTGATGACATGGCATGCTTCCATTGACGTCGCATCCTTGGTTTTCATTAATCCACACCTCTGATGACTACAGAGAGAGAGAGAGTGAGAGAGAGAGAGAGAGAGATTAAATTACGACAACAACAAATGAACATATATGCAAGGAGTCAGGGGTGGCTGCTCTTCCATATCGGTAGCCGATGGCGAGGGTTCGAGGGCGAGGGGGTTGTCGGGGTGTGGTTTCATGTTGGGGGTGGTGTGAGTGAGGGGTGGGAGCTTTTATGAAGTGCCTTGTGGGTGGCTTCAGGTACAAGGTTGTCCTGAAGGCGAGAAAATTTGGGGTGGCATGCGCACACAGTAGTCCGTGGTGGCCGAGCGGGTAGGCATCCACATTGCTGGGCAGGCGGTCACTTTGCATGGGCGCACCGACCTTGGATTACAAGTTGTCCGTTGAGGGCTCCTTTACTCTTGCCGTTGGACCGCATACATGCAATCCACGCCATTTCGGTGGGAACGTGTCGGGCAGGGCATGGGCATGCAAAGCACTATAAAGGTCGGTGCAGGTCTGCTGCTCCCTCGGTGTCAATGCCTCGTCTCGCCTGAGGGTTGTCTTCCATGGCGCCAGAAATTCATTGTAGTCGCCATCGCTATACGGGTGCGTTGTGAGGACAGGTGCCTCCATCACATGCATAGTAGGCAAGCGCTCACCAATCTCTCTGCAGTGTCATCCACGTCAAGTGGCACTCTCATTCGCTGATCTTCAGAGAAGGGCCGAGATCGATCGACATCGCACGGCGCAACGTGGACAATCGCAGTCGAAAAGGCGAGATAGTGGATCCGCGAAGGCGGGGGCGGCCAGAGCGGAAGAGGACACATCCCGAAGTCCAAAAAGTCGCATGTTGACAGAGAGGAGGGTGTGATGGGGGCCCAAGGATAGGAAGATGTCTCACCCGTGGATGTCCCTTCAACGGAAACTCGACACTTGGATTTGGGAGGGACGACGTAAGCAGGGAGCGCTACATTGGACTGGCCACCCTTGGTGTGGCAGGAATTACACATGTCAATGGGAGTGGGAGCGTGCATTCGCAAGGGGTCGTCATCAGCGACTCGACACCACAATGGCCTATAACTTCAATGACGACAATCGTCTCAGATGTGGAATGCGGCGACAAAGGACCTGTCCATGCGGTACAGGCGCGCCACGGGGAACCTTCGAACACCATCGCAGTCGGCGGCTCGTCATGGTATGTCGTTCCGTTGTCACTTGTAGGAAGCGCGATTCCCAACGGCATCACCAACACTGGGGGGAGAGGCGAGAAGAAGGCAGGCACGAGGAGGCGAGAAGGAAAGACGAGAAGAGGGAGTAAACTGCACGGCTGGACGACGATGATGACGAGCCTCTTAGCAGCAAGAAGACAAGAATGTGGCAGGAGGAGTTGGAGGTGAAGTCTAAGCTGTGGACAAACGGGAAAACATAATGGGCAAGTGGACCTGGTCACCTCATCGCGGACGCTGTACACACGTGCACTGACTACTATTAAAATCGTCAATGGAGACACAGGCGCCACCGCTCTGCACGGCTCCATCATGCCACCCCCCGACGTTCCTCGCTTACGAATCGACTATCCTGCACAACAAGAGACAACGTCCACACTTGCGAAGACTACTGCTGCGTGATCATCAATATGGTGACGCAAGCGTGATCATCAATGCTGATGCAAGTGCCACCGCTCCCCACGGCCTCATCATGTGATACATGCCCGATCGGGCGATGTACGGGAGCCAAGGATCCGCAAAGTGATGAAAAGGACTCGTATGAACAATGGAATGTCATCCAAGCATCAACAAGCAATGTACATCCAGATACATATCGAATAGCACAATGTAGCGCAACGGAAGACTCAAGATATGATCTGACCTGTCAGATACTGACGCAACACCCCATCATACACCACATGTGTGAGAGAGAGGAGGGACCACATATATAGAAGAAAGGTCCCTCCTCGCACCCGCACATGGGGGGAGATACCGCGGACGAGAGATGGGGGGAGGCAAGAAAAAAGGTCCCTCCTTGCACCCGCACATGGGGGGAGATACCGCGGACGAGAGATGGGGGGAGGCGAGGGGGAAGACCGAGATCCCTATAGCACAGTCCAAAAAAATAGTCCCTCGCCGAGTGTCCAATCAACGTCTGCCGCAAACAAAAATGTTGAATCAGATCCTGGGCATATGCCCATGAAACCTCTGGCTGAAGTCTCTCTCTCTCTCTCTCTCTCTCTCTCTCTCTCTCTCTCTCTCTCTCTCTCTCTGAAAGAAGAAGAAGAGAAGAAGAAGGAAGAAGAAGAGGTGGAGGGCGAGAACAAATAGAAGAAGAAGAAGATGGCGTCGTCCTCCTCACTCTCACCTGCAAGTAACTACTGCCAAGGAAACATCGAGGGGTGGCATGATGTTACATGCTGCGCTTGCACAAGGGCCCCATTTCAAGGGCCCGACGGTTGCTGAGGGGCCCCCAGGCCGTGCGCCCATCAGACGCGCCCCGGAGGCCCACGGCGGCTCCCGGGCCTCAGGTTTTGACCACAGGCAGCATTTATTTATTTACTTATTTATTTGCTGTCCTATTTTTATTTGTGCAGACGACATTTCGGACTTGCGGGTCCCAAGGCTCCACCTTGGGCTGGGTACACAGGAGCGAGGTCATTTTTAGGCCAGGCGCATTTTTGCGCCTTGCTGCATCAGCAGCATGGTCTGGAAGCGCAGTAGGGGCCCGACCGAGTGGGTCGTTTGAGGCCAGCATTAGGCGCGCCCAGCCAGGCCCAACGCTACTTATAGCTGGGCAGCGGTTGGGCAAACACATAGTTCGACTAACTCACTTCTTGGGCGACACGCTGTTGGACCATCACTGCACGCAACAGCGCTGCGCTTCGTTAAAGATAGAGGAGTAGGTAGGGAGACAGGGGGGAGGCCGTACTTGCAGCGTTCAAGTACGTACCTGGGCGTCATAGCTGGACTTGGCTCCAACGACCTGCAGCACAACGTACGTCGGCGACGAATCGACGATCCTGCGCAGCAAGAGCCAGCTCTTCGTCGGGCGAGGAAGACTAAGAACGTCTCTATGCACGTTATCCACGGGTGGATCTTGAGGTCGTTTTCCAGATTCGATGGCTTCACCCGCGCTAAGTCATATGTTGTTGTTGATTGCCCAACAAATCTGGCAAGAGCAGTGTGGCAGCGCATGGAGTGGTCGTGGGTGGTCTCTACTAGCGTGGTTTATCATACGCTCACTCTGAAGATGGACATTCCGTTGTGGTATGCGGGGGTGTACATCGAGGACCGGCCAGAGGATGATGACATGGCTGTCCACCAGGAGTCCATGGTTTTGCGAATAGCGTCATGTTTTCATGATGCGCTAAGAGGCGGCCAATGGTCTGACAATGGAAAGGTGTCCCAATCAAGGTTAAGCAGAATCGGGGATGCCTTCCACTTGCTTCTTGCCTAGTGCATGCGGATCATGCGCCCGGGGGGAGATGATGTGTGCTCCCACGAGGAGGCGTCCTACTACTCGCAGCTCGTGGCGAAGCCTACGCTGATGGCGGCAGGGTCGCAGGCCTTCAGCTAGCACATGCATATAGTCCAATGGTCCGACAATGGAAAGATGTCCCAATCAAGGTTAAGCAAAATCAAGGATGCCTTCCAATTGCTTCTCGCCGTGTCAATGCGGATCATGCGCACGGGGGGCGACGACGTGCGCTCCCACAAGGAGGCATCCTACTACTCAGAACTCGCCTACGCTGATGGCGGCAGGGTCACAGGCCTTCAGCGAGCACAGACATATAGTCAAGTCCGCAAATGCAGTTTTGACTCGCCTTGGGAAGCCACCCTTGACGATGGGTGGGTTTCCCAACTAAATCCCGAAGTGGGAGGCATGTGGAGTGCGTTTTAACTACGATGCTAGTCTGGCAGACCCTAAAGTCCGCAAAAATGGAGTGGATGGGGATGGGACCTTTCGATGGCGAAGGGAAGGAGGATGGAGGCGATGGCGATGGAGGGTTGTGAAAGCCATCGTAGTGGCAGTCTTGCGCATCGTTCTCGCCTTGTTTGTCAATGGAGTGGAAGCATCTATAGTTGTTCGCGCCACACCCATCTTGTGGGGGGGTGTTCCCTTGGGCTCAGTTCGCCCGATGGGGCTTTGTTGTATGTAGACGGGTGGTGTGGTGGTCTAGTTGCTTGCCATTGTACTTAGTTCCATAGAGTGCGTGCTTGTTTTTTGTACCTAGGTGGGGTGATATGTGCCCCATGGCGGCGCATGTATGTGGTAGTCGACCAAAGGTGGTCGAAAACTTTTCCATTTTTCATCTCTTCATGTAGCACGTGCAATACGAAATGGAAGCTATTAAGATAATGGCACCTTTTTTTTTTTTTTTTTTTTTTTTTTAGAAACCCATGTGTGCAATTGTGTGTGTTTGTCTTGTTCGTT